TATATATATATACGTATATACACAGTGAGGAAAACAAGTATTTGAACACCCTGCGACTTTGCACGTTGTCCCACTTAGAAATCATGGAGGGTCTGAATCTTTCATCTCGGGTGCATGTCCACTGTGAGAGACATAATCTAAAAGAAAATCCAGAAATCGCAATGTATGGTTTTTAAAAAAATAATTTATTTGTGTGTTACTGTTGCAAATAAGTATTTGAACACCTGTGAAAGTCAATGGTACAGTATCTTTGTTTGCAGTTACAGAGGTCAAATGTTTCCTGTAGTTAGTCACCAGGTGTGCACACACTGCAGCAGAGATTTTGATCCATTCCTCCACACATCTTCTCTAGATCAGCCAGGCTTCTGGGCTGTCACTGAGAAAGATGGAGTTTGAGCTCCCTCCAAAAACTTTCTACAGGGTTTAGGTCTGGAGACTGGCTAGGCCACTCCAGAACCTTGATCTGCTTCTTACGGAGCCACTCCTTGGTTCTCCTGGCTGTGTGCTTCAGGTCATTGTCATGTTGGAAGACCCAGCCACGACTCATCTTCAGTGCTCTCACTGAGGGAAGGAGGTTGTTCCCTAAAATCTCTCAACACATGGCCCCGGTCATCCTCTCCTTAATACAGCTTGCCAACCCACATAAAGGGCCACACTTTGGACTTATTATGCTGCTCTGGACTCTCTCCTCTTAACTGTTCTTCTGACGGACTTCCATTTACTAATCACCTGATGATCTCATTTAGGGCTACAACTAACGATTATTTCAATTATCGATTCATCCGCCGATTATTTTCTCGATTAATCGGTGAATCGGCAAAAAAAAAGTTTTAATTTCCACCCCTTTATTCCAAAATTGAACATTTGACTGACATAGCAGTTCACACAAAACACAGGTTGCTACTTGACTATTCTGTTAGTAAAATATTGAATAATAAAAAATAAAAGTTAGTCTTATAGCTTAAAAAAATAAATGTACACAACAATATATACAAATGTTTCTTTATACCTGCACAGTATGTAGCTACTTTGTAAAATGTGTCCTTGAGGGAAGAGTGTAACCTGGATTAAAAGTGTGGATTATTGTAACCTGGATTAAAAGTGTGGATCATTGTAACCTGGATTAAAAGTGTGGATTATTGTAACCTGGATTAAAAGTGTGGATCATTGTAACTTGGATTAAAAGTGTGGATCATTGTAACCTGGATTAAAAGTGTGGATTATTGTAACCTGGATTAAAAGTGTGGATCATTGTAACCTGGATTAAAAGTGTGGATCATTGTAACCTGGATTAAAAGTGTGGATCATTGTAACCTGGATTAAAA